CACTTTATTAACTTATTGAAACTTAAAAATAAATGATGTTATAGAGATTCATATTTAAATTGTAAATTATATTTTTATATAAATTCTTTTTCAAATAGAAAGCATATTAAATAAAAGGAGTATTTTAAAAAAGAATATACCAAATTATAATATCAAAATTCTTTCAGGATTCATTACTCCGTAAGAGATACATATAAGATTTCGCATCGAATACATTACTTTTGATGTTTGAGTTGTAACGAGTTGCAGCTAATTTGCATATTATGATATATGTCATACTTTTTGTATTATTCATAGTTGAATTATAATTTATAAATATTTGTAAACTGATTATTTGTTATAATTTTGTGATTTTAATGTAATTTTTATAATATTTTATTTTATACTTTCTTAAAATTCTTGAAATTAGTTAAATTTAAAGATCTGTGGGACTTACGCCCCATGTCTCAAGGCTTACGTCTCACCTCATCAGAGGTAAAACGCCTCGCCTCAGGCCCCTGCCTTTTAAAACATTGCTCAATAGAGCTCTTGATGCTTGCCACGTACATAAATAAAATTTAAAGACTAGAGCATTTCACTAAAGCTTTCATTTAATTTTTTTCTCAATTTTTTCTTGGATTTTTCTACATCACGATATCGATTATAAATATTTTAATAATTAGATTTGCTTGTTCAAAATACATAACATATATACAAATTCAAAAATCATAATTTAAAGGCATAAGGAGTAAAATCGATTTATACGATATGCAAGTTTCTATGATATTCTATTGTAAAATAATTTTCTAAAAGACTTGTGTGATTTTATTAAATTAAAAAAAAAACACAGAAAAATTAAATTTGCTCCATAATCAAGAAGCGGAGGATTTCCATACTTCTTTTCTTAAAGTTATGTTACTTAATTATGGAAAGGATTTATAGATTTTAAATTCCTAATCGATTTTAAAGTCCTAAATATAAGACTTTAGTTTAAATAAGGAAATACCAAATTTTGATTTATTTTAAAGTCTTAACTATTAGGAAAATAACAAATGACTATTTTGTCCAGAATAAACTCTACTTTTAAAGGGTGAAAAAGGCGAACGATATTTCGCTTAGGGCCTTCGTGCTTTATATATAGACTAGTTTTAGTATACGTGCGTTGCGCGTGTTCCCTATCTTAGTAAGTAATTTTTAGTAAGAAAATTAAATATATATTTTTAAATTATAAAATAAAGTGTAAGCTTCCATAGTTAATTAAATACTAATCCTATATAACTAACTCAATAAAGAAAATATTTTGTTCATAGAAGTTCTCAATCATTATCAATATATTCACTTTAAATTATGTTCTATTTTTTTTAGTTTTATCAGTTCAATTTTACCAGTTATTATACTTCCTTTTTAGTTTCAGTAAAAACACATAGCCTTGAAGATTTAAAACTTTTTCTACAAATATTATTCAAAAGCTATTCTTAAGTTCATGCGAGAAGATATAAATATGTTTAATTAGCACTTTTATTACGATTCTTTAAAAAAAATCATATAACATAAATTTAAAAATTAAATCTTATGTCTCAATTTATCTCCTTTCAAAGGTTTCAATATTACCTAAGTAGTAAGGTTTTAGTTGCTGAGATGAAAAAAATATCATAATTTACATAACTTTGTCGAAACGTGCGTAGCAAAGAAAGCATTACTAAAACATAAAAATCTAATAGGATGCACAAATACTATAAAACATTATTGAAATTTAATGCGTGTGCATGTACATATTAATTTAAACATTTTATTTTTAATATATAATCTATTTTAAAGTTCTAAATATTTATACTTCCTATATAGTTTAAATAAAAAAAGATTCAATAAGTAAAAATTAAATTGATTTTAAAGTCGGAAATATTAGAAAAATATTTAAATTATATTAGTATTCAATGTGAAATTTATTTTTAAAGAATAAAAAGTCAATCATCATTTTCTGTAGAGGTTTCGTGCTTTTATAATATAGATTAGCTTTTACGGTTTAGTATGATTAAAATATGCATCAAATAATTATTTTGGTTGCTTAATTGAATATGGATTAATTATATTATATGACTAAAATAAGAATATTTAAAGTGCACATTTAATTGTTCCATGTTAAAACAATTTTAATGTGGATGCTATTGTATTAAAAAACATTAACTTAATATGCGATTTCATGTCCTCATATTTCAATTAAATTAGAATTCAATTCAAAGCACCGTATAAATGTTCTCATCTATTTTCAATTAGTATAATATATATAAGGTAAAATATATATGTATTTTCTTCTTACCTAATTTAATAAGGAAAGATAAGTTTTAATTGATTTTAATATCCTAAATATTAGGAAAGCACTTGAGTTACAATTTTATCCATTATGAAAGGTATTTTAAAAGGGTAAAAAAGGCGAACGATATTTCGCTAAGGGTCTTCGTGTTTTTAATATAGTATAGATAAGTGACTACCGTATTTTATCATTCTTGCATCTTTGTTTTGTGCAATTGTCCTTTTGGGGATTTGATGTTGCCATTACGCCATAGATTTAAATTTTTTCATTCTCGATAAATGTTTAATACTTCAAGTTAATTCCCACAAGATTTATATCCTTCATAATAATTAAATTAAATTAGAGTAATTTTAAGTGTTAGTAACTACTAAAACCTGAATAGAACAAAACAACTTAGGGAATATTATCGAATAATACAAGTTAGGCAATATGGGCCAGCATACTAGAATCGTAAGGTAAAACTCAAAAATAGCTAGATTTACAAGTGGTAGTTAAAAAATAACTACAGATTCAAAGGTAATTGAAATTTAGCTATTTTTCATTTAAAGATAAATCTGAATAAAAACATTGGTCAAAATTCGGAAAATATTCCAGCATAATATGTTGGAGTGAGAATTTTTTACATGTGAACTTCGAGCATAACATACTGAAATTTCATAATGTGCTGGAGTTTCAACATAATATGCTGGAAGTTCATACACAGGTGCTCCAATCTCCGGTATATTATGCTGGACCTTTCCTGTGCTGGATTTCTAGCATAATATGCTGGAAGTTCATACACAGATGCTCCAATCTCCAGTATATTATGGTGGAACTTTCAGTGTTGCAGCAAAATAGTGGCTATTTTCAATTACCAGTCTGAAAATTGAGTAACCCGTGCTATTTTAAAAGAATCGTATTGTTATCTCATCTTTGTCTAGATTATTAAGATAGTTGAGGTTTCTGGTTATTTTAGTATCTATTTGTACCACTTTGTTTCTAATTAACTGATAATAGGCTTGTAATGTTTTATTACTAATTTGCTTAATGCCGAGAGTTCGAGAACCTCTGTAGTATTTTTCCTTCTTTTTTTTCAGCTTAACGTCTTTCTTTCTTTTCTTACTTCTATTATGTTATTCCCTTTTGCCTGAGTTCGAGGGCAGTGGCGGTAAAATTATTATATATTTATGTATAAATTTTTTTAAACTAGGTTAAATATTTGATTCCGCCACCCCCCAGTTGCAGACTAAACAAAGGTGTCATGACAGGTGGACCTTTTGGAAAGTTTTTCTCGTGTGTAAAATTCGAGTTCAAATTTATCTTGAACCTTATCTGACTTTCCCTTTTCGTGTGCTTTTTATTTCCTTTGTCCCAATCATTTTTCTTGTTGGCTGCCTCTTAATTTCCTATTTTTTGTTCCTTTTTTTTTCTCCCTATATTTTATTATTTTATCTGTGATCTTTAACAAGAACACTCAAAAAAGAGCCTCCAAAAATTAAAATTTCATAAAATAAGCATTTCTCTTAATCTCAAATCATTTAATCTTTTCTTTTCAAAATAAAAAAAACTTGGGTCTTGATTGGAATTTTGGATTGAGATCAAATTTAATTTTTATAAATTTTTTAATTATAACATAAAATTTTGTGTTATTCTATAATTGTTAAATACAACTTAAATCTCTTTACTATTAAATTATGATGAATATTTTGCAAGTATTGCCTAGAAAAATATGAGATTTATCATTTTAATTTTTGGTATCTTGTAGTTTATCTAATTCTGCATCTATTGGAGATATATTTGTTTTATTTTTCTTATTCTGATTGGTGAAATTCCCTTTTGAAGATGTTATTTTACTTGTTCAAATTTATTTTTGGCATACAAAAAGATATAGTTCCCTAGTAAAAATATTTAATTTTACTTGTATTGTTAATAATAAATGTGTGATTTCTTTTTTAAAATGCTAATCACATTTGCTTCTTGATGTCCGATGTAATTTCATATAACAACAAAATATCATGTGAAATCTCACAAGTAGCGTAGGAGATAGAGATATAATTTTCATATTTAATAAGTTCCTATTAAATTGCCCGGATAAAATAAAAAAAATGAACCGAACAAGTGTTCCGAACAAGCTCTATATTAATTATTACAAAGTCTACATTAAAGAAAATTATGATGGCACCCGCCACCTTCAAATCCTAGATCCGCCTCTGTCTGAAGGTCTATTGAAAACGGCCACTCTACCTCCACAAAGATAAGGGTAAGGTCTGCGTACACACTACCCTTCCCAGACTTCTCTTCACTATGTGGGATTATACTGGGTATGTCATTGTATTATGTTATTCCCTTTTCAAGGAGTCAAAAATATATACCCGATAGTGTAAATTACTTTGTCAGATCACCCAAAACATATCTACAAGTAAAAGTGAAATTTATAATCTTGAAATTAAGTAACGATACTCGTTACAAGTAGAGGTGACCTGATTGTGTAAAAAAATTACACTATTAAGTATTAGTTTAACTCTTTGAAAATATGTGTATTGTATTCAACATCAGATATCAAGGTGCAATTTTTATATGCACATACAGGAAGTACAATAAGGCCCAAAAAATTGCCTCCCCAGGAGCATTAGCAAAATGGCATGTTGATCTTATACCATAGTTTCAACTTCTATCAAACTTCTAGAATATCTATTGGAAAGAATATTTAATCAAAGCAACCCCACAAGTATAACAAAACTTGCCAACAGTCATCCCCCTTCTTTAAACAAAACTCAATGGGAAATAGAAAGAATTAATCTGCCTTTCTTGCCCCAAAACACAGATCAGTCTGATCCATGAACACTAGTCCATTCCGATCGAAGGGTACCATAAGCAAAATACTAGCATGGGGCTTATGAACTAAAAATTGTCTATAGGAGCAATGATGCATAGTTTTACATTGGGAAGAAGAATCAGTTTCTGTTTTGTAGGCTCTTAAACAAAAAGAATCCCAATCCACCAACTGCTAAGGTCACAATCAGAGGTACTCTAATCGAATCAATATCGGTAATATCTCTTCTCTTGCTTTTTCTTGCTTGCCGTGATTGTTCTCCTAGCCTGTCGCGAAGAAGATTGCTAAGATTGTCCAACTGATGAATAATTTGACGTTGTCCACGTGCAACATTAGATAGCTATGCATCACAAAGAGAATGTAAGAAATCCTCGCATACTTCAGGAACAATAATTTAGTTATCTAATAAAAGACTATCCGCATAACAGGACCTAAGTGCACCGACCCTGCCTTTTAAGTAACAAAAGACAGAGCAAATTGACCACTTTGACAAGTCAAATTGCAACATTCACATGTTCATTAGAGTAAAAGAAGATGATTAACCATAGTTTGCATGGAAAAAGCCTAGTGAAAAATGTACCTCTTCCATCAGTGTGGACTCCTTTGGAATTAGCAAAGAAGATGATGAGGAATTTGGCATAATGGATCCTGTCAAGGAACCATTTTCTAAACCAGAAATGAAGTAAGAAGTTGGGCCGGATCCATTACAAGCTTCAGTTTGCAAAGCCAGATTTTGAGTGCTCGGAGAAGCTCTTTTGCTGCTTAACTTGGAATTAAGTTCTTCCATTCTAGATGTAAAGTCATCCATCCGATCATTCAAGGTAGAAATTTGTTCCGATAAATGTGTAACAGCTCCCTTATGAAACAAGGACAATACAGGAAGGGTAAATCTCTAGAAGTGTCACGAAAGAAGTGATGCACGCCAAGAAAGCAATAGTAGTATAGTGAAAAGAACGTGAAAATATTTCATTGTTGCTAAATGCAAAACCTGGTTTGCTAATGTTGTTGCTGAATCAGTGTTTCTGTCATCAAACCTTCGACTATCAGTATCTATCTTCAATAGATTTTTCTCCCTGTGATTTGCGTATGAATGTGACAATCCACTGCAAAATAAATAAGTAAATAACCAGATCAATGACAAATGAACTTGACATCAAAACTTTTCGTCATCGACGGGTTTCATTCCAATAAGGATGGAGATCCATGCAAGTTTCTGAAACGCTTCACATTTAAGACTAATGCTCTTAAATTCCTATCTTGGACATACACACCCAACCATGCCAAGGTCTAAAACAGTTCAGGATTGAACAGACACCAACAAGCAAACGAGAACAACACTTTAATATTTCCATGTTTCACAACTCAACCATTCATAGCATTCAGCAGTATGCCCTTGCATCGTTTACCTCAACTTTAACATATTTCACAATGCAAATAGCTTTTGTGGATATCATACAGCTTATATTTTGAAGTTGTTAACTGTGCTCTAACAGGGAAATTATCTGAGTCACAAAATGCATAAATGCGTAGAAGCAAACTTGAACGTGCAAGGGCAGGATAAGGCGCCTAGATCAGCAACAGCAGAATATAGCCACTTTCATATAACCAACCATTGAGGATTTTGTAGGATGTCATCAGAGATACAGGGTGCATGAGAAGTCCTGGCGACAAATCATTAAAACACGCAGAACAATGATACCGCTATGGTGGCATGCAAATTGCTAATGACTAAGAAAACACTGAATCTGCTCAGCTGTTCACTAGAAGGATTTCGTTTCTCGGCAGGACACCTAGCCAAGTCACAGCATTTCCTAGAATATAGAATGCATAGAATGACTTGCTTATGTACAAACCGATAAGGAGTTGAAGACCTAATCAAGCGAATTAATATCTGCGAGCGATCTATTCAACCTACACATCAAACAGAATGACACATAGGCACATAACACGTAAGCTCATGACTATCAGAACATGCATGAATATGAATATGGTGAGACTTTATCTTCTTTCTTTAGCTCTCTCATCCAGTAACTCCTGCAGCCACATTAGTAGGTCCAAACCACAGGTTGCAAATCTTCCAGATGATTGGTAAAGTGTGCAAATTAGAGCTGAAGAAGCTCCTCTCAGTATTTACCTACAAAACTCTCTCTTCCACCAATCGCGCTGCCACACCCTCCCTCTCCTTTTCCCTCTTTTATTAGGAGAGGACAGTTGTCATCTATTTGCTGGAAGAAGTTAAAAGGGTTGCTTAACCAAAGCAGCCTTCTATTAACGGTATTGAGCCACAAGCAATTACTGGGATGGTGAGACATTATTCAGCTTATTGATGAAATCCGCTGTTTTTCACACTTTTTTTATTCTTTTGTAATAAGCGATTAGCCATTATCTAATGCAATGTAGTCGATAAGGAAATATGGGATAGATGTGTACCCTCTGAAATTCTTATTTCTCCATGCTACTCTCTCTGCTGAGGCTCGAGAGAGAGCTTCTTTAGGGCTGGAGACAAGATCTTCATCTAAGCTAAGCTTTGTTTTCAAATCATCTGGTAGTGCCTGCGATATTATATCTGTGCTAATAAAGTGACAGAAAGCCGTAAAAGCACATTAAGAAAAGATATAGGAAGCTAAGCATACCATAACTTCATTCACAAGCTTCTCTAGCTGTATTTGCTCAATATATGTTCGTGGAGTGTATGAACCCTCCAGTCCCAGTTGATCAGCAACAGATTTTACAATAACACGATCTCTTCCTTGCACCTTTGCAAAGTTGAGAAAATATCTAGCATATTAGAAGATTTTAGCATTGTATATTAGCAAGGAGGAGAGAATAGAACAAGTCTACTACCTGAACATAATGGCGGTTCAGTTGTTCTAGCCAATCAATTTTCACGCAGACCTTTTCATCAGAAAATACGTGACTGCTTCTTTTGAGTATTGCCGCAATTGTGTATCCCAAAGCCATCAATCCACCAAGAAGCTTCACACTGACCTCAAAACTGATTCTTGGGGATATAACAAATGGAGAATCAGTGACCCACTCCTACAATTCAAAATCAGTTAAAGTTGCAACCATCAAATCGCCAGTAGACCAGCTTTTCACAAGTATAAATAATTCTTGGCAAATTTAGTTGGTCAAGAAAAGCTGATATACCCAAGCACCACCAAGTAATCATAAAGTAAATATAACCATGGAGTAGAAATTACTACAATTAACCAATACATCCTCGAGTCTCTCAATAAAGGATATAATCCAAAGAACGAATAAGGAAGGCTATAGCATAAAATGTATTGTTGGACAATTGTGCCAATCAATCCCATGGTATTGCATTCTATATTGGCATACAACAGTTGCAACATAAAATGAGCAAGGAAGTCTTTGACACTATTTTTCTTCTTAAGTTATTTGACGAAATAACTCTAAAGCGCTAGGTCATTGACATCAGCTACAGGAAACAGAGGGTTAAGAATGCAAAAAGTAACTTGGAATTTTCTTAGCCCCTGATACTATCTCAAAATAGAGAATGCAGGTAAAAGGACAGGAAAATGTTGTTTCCCAAAAGCTTGTACATTATTCAAGTGTTTCAGGAAAGTGAATAGTACCACACACACGACTATCGAAAATTAATTAGGAGAATAACAGATTGTCATCAGTAGCCTACATAGTAAAGCCAAAAGGGCCTAGCAAACAAAAGTACTTTGTAGCAATTGGTCAGTATTTTGTCAAAAGCACTGATCACTATAACAAAAGAGACAAACCTCAAACATGAGACTGTATTTTCCATCTTTATTTCGCATCCTCAGATATGATTGGCAAGTCTCTGGATCTTCACCAGGTGGCAGAAGGTATATGTCGTAAGTTTCCTCCGTACTTTCAGTGTGTTCTTCAGATAGGGCAGACTTGATTTGATCTACATTCATATTCCTAGAAGACTAAAGGTACAAGAGATTAGATAAGCCCTTTTATGTCTTTATAATTTTAATTACGTCATGCGTTTCTTTTTGTTGAGAAAGGTAACAAATAGCCATTTATTTCTGATCGCTATAGTTTTCCATGTCAGGAAATCAGAAGTGCTTTTTACTTTTAATATCCTTACCTTTAGAATGTACGTAGGACTCTGAAATCCAGTAAACGGATTAAATTTGTTGATAATTTTTATATGTGCAGTCTTGAGATCAGGTTCAATAAAAGCCTTGTACATTGGATAAACCTGCACCAGACATTATGGCCCAGAGGGTGAGGACAGAAAGTTTCAAGCCCTTTTTTGACCAAAAATCATAGATGAAACAGACCGTTTCAGATATTTGATGGATTATCTCTGACGGCTCCTGCCCGGCACGTTGTATATCACGTAAAACCCTTTTTACAAGATCAAAGTGAACTCCACCTGTCACAGATACGCGAAGGTCCAACAAAGGACGCAACTTTTCACTCAAGGCATAGATACCCTCAATAATCAAAATGCGGGAGCTAGGTACTTCAAGAGTCCTGCAGTACAGCTAATGGCATAAGTTCCAATCATACTATATGTAACAGATAAACCTTGGATACTTAAAAGAAAACAAAAAAGGTGTGTTCCCAACTTTGAACAAGAAAGGCTTATTATTCAATAGACATATGACAAGAAAAACCAACCACAGTAAAGAACTTGTCAGAGAGGATAAATCAGCCAAGAGAAGGGGGTCAAAGACAAACGTAAACTAAAGCCTTGACCAAGAAAAGAAGAGTAATGTGGGGCCTCATTTCAAAGAATAAAGATAACTATGTAATGACTGAACTCCAACTATGTTATGAAAAATCAGCAACCCTGATGCCAATTAAGTAGCATTCACGAGTCAAGGAACAAGCACCTTCTGAGTAGACCACAGAGACAAAAAACAAGCAAAACTAAACTAGTTGATAGCATAAAACACCACAAAGATGAACAATGGACTTAGTTGTATAAAATTTGGGTTGTCAATCTATAGTTAATTTTCTGTTTGAATCAGGTCAATGAAGAGTCTAGGTACCATAGTTCCAAAGATGTCATTATTGTTTTAGCCATGTAATATAACCCACCCAAAAAAATCATATATGGATCTGCAAACAGCCGAAAGCTTGGAGGTACACTTCCCTTTTAAGCATTCAAACATAATATTTTCGCAGACTAAGAACAGGTAAACACAATTTTAATAGTCGCTTGAATGCATAATGACATCATGCAGATAAAAAGCATAGCATACTACATGAATTAGAAGTAAGGAGCTGAACCTGTAGCCTACACGAGAGCTAGATTTGAAATCATATATTGGAACCTCAGCCGGCTTCCCAGCCTTTAGATCATTGATGTTTTTAAGCAGCGTATCGTAGTCCGTTAGTCGTGGATCTGTTTCAGAAACATATTTAGACCTGGTAAAGTACAAATGATCTAGTCTTAAGTTAATCTAGAAGTCTAGTGACACCGATATCAGGGAAAAACAATAGAGAGAAATCAGCTGAAGAGGAGATTAGATCTAAAGCCCAGACTCTTTCACTGAATGTTATCGTCTATTAAACATATATGTTTCCCTACTAGAATTTTTTTTTTTTTAAAAAAAAAAAGAGAATACATTCTTACCATCAAAGTTGCCATCAACTATTCGACTAGCGTCATTGTAGTTATCCATAGAGATAACTGCAACACTTGGCATGAAGCTGAGTATTTTCTCAGTAAATACAGTCTTTCCAGCTCCGGAGGGACCAGCTACTCCAATTATTATCAATCCTTCATTCTTTTGAACCAACAATTGGCATGCACGGATTACAACAAAGAATCCTTTCTCAAATGACAAATTATCAGGTATCGAGACAATCTCATATCGATCACAATTCTTTCTCTTAACTAGTCGAACCTGGTCCTTTAAGAGACCAGCTCTTCGATGATTTGATTCAGCATTGCCATTATCTTTAGCCATTTTAACTCAAAACAACACAGAATTATCCTCTGAAATTACAAAACAACCCATATAAAGATCAGAATGAAAATTTAAAGATCAAGTATAAAAATATAAGCCAAAATGATGCAGTTAGTAATCATAGACCTGTTAAAATTTCTTATCTAATAGTAATTAACGTGCTGAAGATAAAGCACTGGAAGCATTATGCTGTAGCACATAATCACTGTTAACCCTATTACCCTACAGAATCTCTTGCAATAAAAGCTGACCTGATTTTTCAAATTCTTATGGTTTGCTTAAATGATAAGTCAAGCATAATTCTCTCATTAACTACATATTGGAATCACAAAAAAATAGTCATCACGTTCTTATAACCACAGCAACTTCAGTCATGACTTGTATAAATTTATCTGGTAGGATCTCCGACAACTTAGTTGCATCACAGAGACTGCATAGGCAGAGAAGAGAAACTATAGTGTATGTGTATAGCTGCGATAGCAGAAATCAACCTCGCCTTTGCAGTAGAGTATCGGGAAAAATGATTAAAGGACCATCATTGCGAACGAACATTTAAGTACAAAGATTGTTATCAATTATCATCCATGATTGAAAATACAGCCCATTATCCTATGACCCAAAAACATATCCCTGGGACTGAGGTCAACTGTTACTAAAATCGGGAGGCTTCGCAGAACATTCACTTCCTAACTAACAGATATCTATTATGAATACATCAATTGTTGGCTTTAATGCAGACAGCATCAGCTTTTTGCATGTATATGAACAGGGGCGGAGCTAGTTCTTTGGCTACGGGTTCTGTAGAACAAAATAGCTTTGGTCCAAACCCTGTATTTGTCTTAAAAAATCTATTGAATAGTACAAATTATTAATTTAGAACCCAGTAACTAAAAAAAACTAGAATCCCAAAACCATAAGCATCAAATCATAGCTCTACCTCTGTATATGATGGCATATACCATAAAGGTTAAATTTCCATCTGCATATGCTACTAAAAGTGTTTACAAGGATAAGGGGCAAAGTCAAGGGTAAGGTTCTCATCAATTTGGACTCAAATTATGATGATGTCTTGCTCCATTACTACTAAGGCAACCACGTTACTGATTTGCTCGAATGCAATTAACAGGAAACATGTACATGCATTTCCTGTAAACATTGGTACCAACCAAGCTAGGTGTTTTTCAATAAAGACAAACCTTTTAAACAAACACTACTGAAACACGGACATCACAAAATCCAAAAGAGGATCAGTTTGATTTTTCAAAAGATTTCACTTTCTTGGAAGTTATCTGAATGTCCTATAACCTTTAGCCATAACCTAATAAACATAGCAACAAGCGTGTCGTCACAAACAAATGTGGCGGCCATAAAAGCTCATTAAAATATTCATAAAAGAGGCATCTTTTTTTCTACTTTTTTGGGTATAACCATCTTGTATCGGAAACCCAATTTGCCCGACTAATCCAGATTCGTGAGCCACGTACCGGAGCTCAAACCCGAGACCTATAGTTAAGAATGACGAGATTTCATCCATCCCACCACACCCTTCGTGGTAAAAGAGGTATGTTTAAACTAAACAAAATTCACAAACAACTGATAATTCAGAGGCGACTGCTTATATTCAAAGAGAAAAAGTGCAGCAGCAAACTATAACAGTCATCAAATTACACACCCCCTTTCTTTTTCTCTTTGCAATTAACACATTGCAACTAAGAAAACACAATAAATACCCAAAAAAGGGTAAGTTCAAGACCCTTTGGGATTTAATACCAAAAAATGGAAGAAAACGAGAAGAACCCACTTCAACACTAAAGCATTCAAGCAAACACAAGTAACAACCCAGAAAAAACAATGGAGGCAAAAAAAAAATGAAATAAAAAAATATTTAATCACGAATATCAGATTAAGTTCAATGTAGAAGTTGTAAGAGCACAAAAAACACTGACCTATGAATATATGCTACAGTGGTGTTACTGCAAGAAAAGCGTAGAAGCTTTTTTTGGCCCTTATTTCTACTTAAGGGCTCAATTTATATATGTTTGTTTCCTCTCTTTTTTTATTGTTTTTGCTTTTTCCTTTCTTTTTTTTTTTTTTGGTTTATAATTATCGAGGTATGTGAGATATTTTTGCTGGAATGAAGGAAGGTGATTATTTTTCCAGAATATTTGGGGAAGTGGGAATTCAGGAGATTTTGCCACGAAATTATTGCAAAGAAATCTTTAAGGCTGCAAATAGGGCAGAGTCAAGAGCATTTATTATTGGCATCCTAAAAGAGAGTAGTATTATTACTCCCTCCATCGAATTTATATGTGGTATTTTTAGCTTTTAAAAGTTAAATTATAGAAATTTTAATTAATATTTTAAATATATATTCATTAAATTAATATGAGAAGAATTATAACATATAATATTTTGTATTCGTTATAAGTGCCCGGAAGAAAGTAACAATGATTAGAGTTAATTTAAGAGTTTTGAGCTTCTTTTGTGATGACATTGTTCGGACAGATTTTGACTATTTTATCAAATACATGCTATCTCTTATTCTCCAAATCACCAATTATTATTATTATTATTATTATTATTATTATTATTATAGTAATAAAGTAGTGGCGATAGTAATAATAGTAATAATAATAATAATAATAATAATAATAATAATAGTAATAATAATAATAAACTATAATTATTAGTAAAATAATATGATTTTTTTGGTTGGATTTACTCATCCTGTTTCGGTACCTGCATTGCAGCTGATTATATCCGTATTCGCCCCCGTATAAGGTTCATTTAAGAGGGGAGCGTTCCCTAACACGATTTTTTCCATACATAAGGTTCGAAGTTGAAACTTTTAGTTAAGGGCGAAAAGATTATATCTATCACATCATAAACTATGTTGGGTATGAGTTATTGTTACGGAAAAGGAACTAAAGTATCAAAATAAGAAGAAAAAAAGGGTTGTTGTAACAAATAAGGAATTAATGTATCAAAATAAAAATAAAATAAAATAATCACTACTATTATCATTAGTTATTCTTACTAATCATTTAGTCGGTATTCTAAGCAAAACTTAGGCATTAGTAGAAAAAATGACTGAAATTAAAAATATTGGTAACAGCAATCATTAATGGGAGGCGGAATTCCGTAATGTACACGTAGTAGTATCATGACATACTGACATAATGAGTGGTGTGAATTTCTTCTTGAAATAAAATAAAAGTATAGGACAATTCGGTGTATAAAGTATTCTGTAAATGTACGGAGGATCTGGCAAAGGACCGCACTTTTAAAGGTGTGATATAAATATAAATAACTATCTAATACAAGTATTAGTGACTGCTTCTACGACTCGTGATATATTGGTTGCACAAAGATAACTTCACCTGTCAAAAAAGTATTTTCTAATAGAGAAAAATAATATTAAGAAGAGAATGACATTATGGTTAATCATGGAAAGTGGATTGTTTTTCTTATTTCAAATTGTAAATTCTACTTTCTAAGTGGTTGTGATATATGTTGACTTTGACACAATTACCTTATTTGTACATGGATCATTTCCATTAAAAAAACAACTTAGAATGAGGGGAAAAAATAAGAACAATGATCTGCTAGTTTATGTTTGTTTTTTTACTTGTACTTTCTCGTGTATATTTTATTATTCAATGTGAAATGCATTTGAACAGGTGACAAATTGTTTTACACTAAGGGGTCGTTTGGTAGGGTGCATAAGAATAATGCTGAATAGGGTGTATTAGCAATGTTAGTATTAGTTATGCTTGCATTAGTTATGCTGGTATTAGTTATGTTGATATATTTCTTATCTATTGTTTGGTTTGATGTATTAAAGCATTGTACAATTTCTAAAAGAATTGTTTGTTTACAAAAATGCCCTCAAAACTAGTCCACACTCTAACTTTTTAAAAGAAAAATATGTTGAGAAATGTTTTTATATGAAAAAGTTTTTAAAAAATTATTTTATTTGTCTACCTATATTGTAAAATAAAATTAATTTATTTATAAAAAAGAAAATATGCTAAGTATTTATTTATTTAGTAGGGATATAAATTTATTTCTCACTATTTGGATTATTTTGAACTTGCATTAATATACTAACTAGCATATTTTAATCAAGCATAAATTTTGAAGGATAATTTTGTCTTTAACTAAGCTAATGCATGCATTAAAACTCATTGCATTGCTAATACCATTGTTTTCTATGCATTAGTTATGCATAGGATAATACCAAATAGGATGTATAGCTAATGCTTGCATAACTAATGCATAGGTTCAAAATGTCTACCAAACAATGTATTATTAATACACAAAGCTAATGCATGCATTAGATTATCTAATGCATCCTACCAAATGATCCTTAACAGTATAAAATATTTATACACAGCATTCATATATCACAATCATTTAGTGTAAACTAAGTTTTTCTCAGAACCAATTTTTTAAGTTATAATTTACCTCGCTATAACAATTTTTTACCTAATGCTCTTTGTAAAATTACGCCTCTATAACAGCCATATTAAGATTACTAACAATAATTCTGTTTACCGTAAAAATGGTAATAACAAGTAAATTTGATTTTGTGGCTCTAAAAATACGTGATCTATTTTTCTGCTAGTTGTTAAGCAATGAATTCTAAGTAAAAGATTAGAAAGCAAGATTAAAGCTTAGAGACAATGTGATAATCGAACCGAACGGGCCTCGAGCTACCGTATATGAGGCCTTGAGATCGAGTCTGGAGGCCGGCTTAAGGCAATCGAGGGAGGACTAACAGTTATGATAGCTAAAATAATGGCTCTTTATGATCAATGATAAGCAATAAAGGATGAACAATAAATAGAAACAATAAATGTGAGCAATAAATGGGAGTAATGAGATCAAGAGAATATGTTAGAGAGCAGAGAGAATGTTCTTGTGTATTGAATATTGAGCATGAGATGTCTATAAAATGACAAGGATCCCCTTTATATACGAGGGAGAGTCCCAACATGGTACAAATACATCTATTACAAAGATATAGAGATGGTACAACTAGTTAATGTCATGATGCAGGCTTAGAATAGCCTGACAGACTTTGTCGGCTCTAGTCATATGCCTTGGGAACCTCACACTGATCCACCATCGTCACTGATTTACCCCTCCTCGAGGCCGACCGTTGCTTGCGCTACCTCGAAGTAGATTGCCGAGAACCCTCGAGGCCAGGGCCCGAGCTAAGCTTCGATCCTTCAGGGGAGGTAGTTCTTTCGAGGCGCCTTGGTGACCGTAAAATCGTACCGCCGATTTTCGTCGTATACAGATAGTCCCCGCGTTTCCTAGAATAAAATAATAGGAAATGGTTTTGAACTCCTACTCCTTAGGCACTATCATTATGACGTTAGCCTATCAGAGCATTAAATGTCATAACCCAAAAGCCGCGCAAGGGTCACCGTCAGCATGACTATCGAGAAGCCCACGAACCATTTTTTGGTTTGATTTCTCCGCTGCCCATACGACTCCTATAAAGACCCCAATTGTTTAATAAACTACACTTTTGTGATTCCTTCAAACTTCCAGAGCCAAATCCATCTTCCTCTACGCCCCCTTTCTTCTGTTCTTGGTTTCCAACTTTACTTCTCAAAAAAGTAAATTTCCGGTTGCCATGGCCAGGACCTCCAAAACAGTTCCTCGAAAAGATGAGGTCGCCTCTTCATCCCGGACATCCAAGAATAAATCCAAGGGTAAGCCCAAAGTGGCTCCTACCGTCGAACAGTGTACACCCACCAGGTTAAATAACATAAAGGATTTTTCTATCGAGAGACCTTCATCTACGCCGGGTCGATGCGAACACGTATCACAGTTTATCAGCGTTGTGAAAGATATAGGCAAAGTGCGGGCGGACTGCCAATGGGATAAAAAGGCACTGGTCGAGATTCCTAGCCCTAAAGAGAGCATAACGGACTATAAGGCCGGCTTTCTTCATGTGTACACATACCCGTTTACCTTGGGGCTTGTCGACTCCTCGGACTCTTCTTCTCCGGCTATAGACCCGATCATTCTCGACTTCTGTTGTAAGTACCGGGTGACACTTGGCCAGATTTATGCCTCTTTCTGGAGGATAGTTTACATGCTTCACTACATTTCCATCAAAGCCAAGAGTACGACTTTTACTCTTTATCATCTGATAAGGCTATACAGCCCCGTCTTTTTCGGGGCTTGATTATGCTTCACCCTCGATCTTTGAAATCTTTTTTCTTAAGTATCGACGAACATAAGGATTGGGGGTGGATGAGCCATTTTGTCCGAGTAAGGACCTCGGACATTATTCCGGCCAAGTGGATGTCGTTCCCTGAGGAATAGAACATGAAGAGTAAGTGTATCTTCTTTGAGTATACTTTATTGTCTTCTTACTTTTTTCTCAAAAGCCAACTTTCCCTTTGCTCACGCAGCCACCCTTTGGTATCCCGAATCTGTTCTGGACCTGTTAGGGTGGATTAAGGGATTAAATTCCCCGTTCCCCTATCCCGAGCATTCTTGGCCTGAGTTGGCTAAAACGCGGTGGGTGGCCAAGAATCATGGTAAACTCCTTCTCGCCGCCTCTATCATGTTTTATATTTCTCCTCCATATCCTCCGTGCTGAAAAACTTTGGTTACTATATTTGCGCAGGCCTTGGCGATGGAGTGCAGATGAGACCGCCTCCTGCCAACGAGGGAGGGTCCTTTGAGCCCGATGAGGATAAGAAGAGGAAAAAGGCATCGGCTGCCGATTCCCCCGTATCAAAGAAACCCAAGTCTCATAGGCCTCGAGTTGAGGCCGAGGTCTCGTCTTCAGCTTTTGGAGCGGGTTCCGATGACGAGAATGAGGATGACGATGACGACGATAACCCTTTGGTGCAAAGGAAGAGGTCGGGCATGGATGCC